TATATATATATATATATATATATATATATATGAATATCATAGTAAGATGGTAAAATGAAGATAAATAGGAAGCTGTAGCAATCATGTTTGCTAACTGTTACATTTATGTCTTGTACAGTATATTTTTCACTGCTCTGTGTAATTGTTCTATGTACCATTCTGTTTAGTGTCTTGTCTGGAAGAAAGGATCTTAAGAGTTTATACAAGACATTAATAAAGTGGTTAATAAATGTCCTGAATTTTGAAACCCACAATGTAGCACACAAACCTCACAAGGGACATTATTCTGTATCTAGTCCATCCCTTCCTTTTCTCCATGAGCACTGCCCCAAAATGAACATGAATCCCATTTATCATGCATAGCAGAAAAGACCAATTAAGCACGATTGATGAGGCTCTGTCCTTCTCGCAAACCATTTACAAGAACTGGAGACCAGGCGCAGATCAAAGTGTCTATGCCAATGCGGACGTGAGAGATGTGATGCTAATGTGGAAGGCCAGAGTCTGGATCTGCAGTACAAGCCACCGTTAACCCTGCAGCCTTTTATCAGGACAAGAAAGATAACACACTTTCCATTCTCAAGTGCTTTTCAAGCAGCTTGTTGATTATATAAGGAGTTCTACATGAGAACACACAGCATCAGAGACGAGGGCGGGCAGCATTTGTCAAAGAGATCGCTTTTTATCAGTCACAAGAACCTGAGTTTACAGTGCATAAAATAAGAACAAATGTTAAATGTTATAAGGTTTAGGTTCAGATTCATACATAAATGTAACACTATATATATATATATATATATATATATATATAGGTTGTTGTGAAATATTATAAATATATAATTTATTCCTGTGCTGTAAAGCTGAATTTTCAGCATCATTACTCCAACTCCAGTCTTCAGTGTCACATGATCCTTCAGAAATTATTATTTTTAATATGTTGATTTGTGCTCAAGAAACATTTCTTATTCTTATCAATGTTCAAAGCTATCAACATTTCTGCTGCTTAATATTTTTGTGGAAACTGTGATACAGATACACTCAAAAGTTTGGATTAAAATAGATAGATAGATATATAGATCGATAGATAGATAGATAGATAGATAGATAGATAGATAGATAGATAGATAGATAAATAAATGTTATTCAGCAAGGACACATTCAGTTTATCAAAACAGTAAAGCCATTTATAATGTAAAAAAATATATATATTTCAAATGCTGCTTAATTAAACTTTCTTTCGATTAAAAGAATCCTACAAAAAAGGTTTGCCATCACAGAAATAAATTATACATACACACACACACACACATTCACAATATTACTGTTCTTTCACAATATATTGGTTCTTTCAAAAACATTAAAAAATATATTAAATAGCAAATAGCAAACAGGAAAAATAGTAGATTAATGTGCATTGCATTTTGTACATGCCGTAGTCACATATATACATATATTTCAGAGGAGCTTAATTTAAACCTAAATGTGTTAACTGCACTTTTTCCACAATAAAAAATATGCCTAAATGAATAGTTCATATGAAAGGCTCCAGTCATATCAGTGGCCTAAAAAAAAAGCTTTTGTATCCCACATGGGGCCGCTCCCCACCATGTTGAGATCACATGACACAGACAAATACTACTCACTCAATTACCCTCTGTCACTTTTAATTGCTGAATAAATTATTTAAATAAATATATGCTTGTAAGTTACAATGGCATCGTGAACCAAAAACATTATCTTTTCCATCCACACTTCATGAAAGGTCTCAATATAAACCCTCTGTCATATCAGTGACAGTGCATTAGATTCCTCAGTTTTAATAGTGACCCTTCGAGGGATGATGATATTTTACTGACATCTAGTGGCTACTAACAGGAAGTTATTTCAGTTTTGAGGCGCTTTAAGGACAGCCACTAGTTGAAAAGAACTGGCAAAACTGCTTATTATAATCCAAAACTGCACTTTTTCATTTTATTACATTCAAAAGCAAAATGAAAATGTAGCATTGATCTCAATAATATTAAGCAAGCTACAGCTCCCGCTGACCCCTGCAGAGGTTAAGATACTCATTTACAGAAACAAGGTTTACTTATTCCCACTAAATGTGGGACATTCCACGTGTTTCCAGGAAAAGTTGAAAGTTACAATACATGAATCCTAAATATAGCAGTGAATATCTGTGACATTAAATATTTAACAGCCAGTATTAAATATTCAGCAAGGTTAGGGTTGTACAGAAGGGCCATTGGACACTGAGCAAGAGTGTGAAAGAGAGCTTTTATGACTAAGAGCATTAGACCAGATGGACTGGACTTTTACTGTATGTTAATACATTATTATAGGCATTATGGACCAACATTTATATATGTTAATGTCAGCTAATTATGCATCCATATAACTTGATGCAATACTATAAACACTTTAATAAAGTGTATCACATTCTATTACAATTTAGAGGCAAAACTGG